GAAAGAGTTTAAGTCCCCCTGACCATGTCCGCCGGAGCTGGTGCCCAAATTCCTCCTGGCGGCTTTTTTTCCTCTTAAACCAGAGGAAAACGTTGAGTAGGTTTGGAGAAGGCCAGCCCAGGAGGGGCGGAAGGCACAGGGCCAAGGGAATGCACGGCTCCCTCAGCACGGGCAGGGGATACGGACAGCCTCGTGCCAGGCAGGGGGGCTGAGCTCAGGTGGTGGAGGAGCTCTATCTGAAAATCTTCTCCACCAGGAGCTTAGGATCCAGCCCAGGCTCAGGCTCAGGCTGAGTCTCTGCTGGGTCAATCTGGTGGGACCACCTCCAAGTCCCACCAGAGCTCTTCACCATCACGGGGGTCTCTCCTTCCATCTCCCCCTGCGTGGATGGAGGTCACCTCTGGAGCTTGGATGTGTTCCCTAAGAAAGGACCCCAAGGTCCCAAACTACAGCCCCCATTTCCCACCTCCTGGAGGTCAGGGGTACTCAGATAAGGGGGTTTCATCCAAATCCTTCTCCAATAAATAGCAAACCCACCTGGTCAGCGTGCATGGATGCAAGGGACCCACAGCTTATGCTGGGCACCTCACGTCTCCTTGGGGTCTCTGCTCCACCCTGGCTCCTCGCTCTTCCTCCTTGGTCTCCAGCTTTGAAGCCCAGGTTGCCTTAATCTGAGCCTTAAGATGCTCCGAGCTGCGTTAGCACCAGCCCACCTCTGGGTTAAATCCATCCCGTATCCAGGGGTGGGTGTAGAGAGGCTGGGCTGGACTCTCAGATGTCTCCTGATGGTCCCTGACTCCTGGCAAAGAACCAGAGACCTCCTGGCACGTCTGCTGGTGAAGCAGGACATGCGTGTGTGCACGTGTGTGTACACATCTGTTTTTTGTAGGTCTCTGCCGCAACAGGGTCATTTTACCTCTTTGTCCTCACTCCAGGGCTTCCTGGGGAGAGAGGACCACCAGGACCACGTGGCTTGAAAGGGGACCAAGGAGACCTTGGCCCTCCAGGTCCAGTGGGGATGCGGGGATTCAAAGGTAAGGACCAGCCTCTGTGCATGCTCCCGGGTGGGTCATGGGATCTGGCTGGGCTTGTTGGGCAGCAAACTGGCTCTGGAGACCATTGGGATGAGGGGCAGAGGCACTGGTCATGTGTGTGAGGGTGGTGGGTCCCAACCTGGAGCTCCTGGGGGGAGAGGAAATTTCGCTGCGTTGGGAGTGCGCACATAGAATCGTGGAATTGTTGAGGTTTGAAGGGACCTTTAAGATCGTCAAGTCCAACCATTAACCTACCCTGACAAAACCACTTCTAAACCACTTCTAAACCATGTCGCCAAGTACCATGTCTACCCTCTTTTTAAACATGTCCAGGGATGGCAAATCCACCACCTCCCTGGGCAGCCTCTTCCAATGCTTGATAGCCCTTTTAGTGAGCAACCTCTGCACCGAGATCTTTCCACCAAGGCCCAGTGGTGGAGAGAATCCAGGGACTGGAGGGAGAAAGGCAAAACAGTTGGGTTTGCGATGTTCCTGCTATGACGGGGGGTTGAGTGCGGGCAGGGCAGGCAGCGCTGCCTGCACCGAGCCCTCACCAGAGCCCCGTGAGGACCTGCTGGGCTGTCCGCCCACGTTCTGCTCCAGCAGGGTTTCAGGAATAGCCTCGTGTTTGTTTTCTGGTGACCTTTTCTGGCTCGCCGTGGTTTTGTAGCGCCTCACCACACCCCGGCTAAGAGCAGGGAGAAGCTGCGGGCGTAGGAAGTGGCCACTCACCTATTTAGCAGGACAGATCCGTTCCAGGAGACCTTTTAAAAGAAGTTCCACGCTCCAACCTAAAACAGCATGGATAATCCCAAAACAGGCTCTTTCTGCCTCAAAATGCCTTGTGGGCAGGGGGAGGCAGGAAGAGCCCAGCCTGAGGAAGGGACACCACCCCGGGCAGAGCCGAGGGGAGCCAAAGCGGTGCACTCCCCTCATCTCATGCTTGTGGGTGATGTTGACCTGGGATGTGGCCACACTGGCCACCAGGACCTGGGGCTATGGCCACAGACCAGTGTTCCGGTCTGGAAAATGCCCGGAGCTCTACGGGTAGGTCTCGCTGTGTTATTCGTCTTACAAACTCTCGCTTTCGTGCAGCGAGATCCTTGGGCGAATTGCATGTGTGAAAGCTGAAGGAAAATGTCCTTTTTAAATGTCTTCTCGCTCCTCTACCTGCAAACTTGGCGTCGAGCCGGTGAGTTGGCTGGAATTGGTGTCCAGTTTCCCTGTATGTCCTCCAACGTGCTGATCATCTCCAGGGGCAGGGGATGGGGTGAGACCGCCGTGTCATGTCTGGTGGCCCGCCCTCCCTATGCAGTAGCCACAGTGGTGGCCATCTCCTGCATCTTTCATGCCACTAGAAAGCCCCATTTAGTCTAGGAGCACATCTTCTGCCCCTTCTCCACTTCATGGTGTCTTTAGGAGAAGGACCTCTCCTAGGGACACACCATCTGCGTCCCAGTGACAGTGCCCCCCGGTGCAGCCCCAGGAAGCTGCAGGTAGGTCCAGGTAGCCCCGGGAAGGTCCAGGTAGAAAGGAGATACAGAAGATGACATGCCACCAGTGGCCTCCTTCTGTAGTAGCGGAGAAGTGTGAAGGACCCAGAGCTGCAGCCCACGGCAAGAAGGTCTCCTGCAGGATTAGTGCCTGTCCGGTCTTCTTTCCCTCGATCATCGCTGCTGTCATCACCCACCCTACCTACACGATGACTTTGTTCATCCCACTGCTCTCCCAGTCACCCCAATCCAGGCACAAGCTGACCTCCCGGGGCCTGTCAACTGCTGGAGATGACTCTCCAGGCCACGTGGCTCATTAGGTGATATTTATGTAGCGCTGCATAGCCTTGAAGAGCGTTCCTGGGTGCTATCCCCATCACCCTATCCCATCTAACTGGAAGCCCAGGGTTTCTCAGCTGATGTGACCGGGTCTCCATTCTCCCACCACGGCAGAGGCTGCCAGTGAGGCACGGAACATGGAAGAAATGCCGCAAGAATAAAGAAACCAGCATTCCCTGCTTGTATCCCAGCGCTCTCTTGGGTATTTTTGGAGGTAACTCTGGCCTGCAGGATTGCAATATCGTGTTGGGGCGGGGGGTGTGCAGGGCTTTATCCGAGCTGTGGGGTGAAAACGCCTGGCGTGATGCTGCGGGTGGTCAAAGTGAGCCCTGGATACCTCCCTGGTACAAGCCTCGCAAAGGCGTGAGCACGGGAGGGGGGACTGGTGCTAACGCAAAGGGGACATTGGCGCCGAGATGTTCCTGGCAGTGCATCAGACACCGAAGTCCGCCAACCAAAACCACAACACGCTTCAGGACCACGGTTTCCTTTCCTTCCTCGGAGCAGAGGAAAGTGGGCTTTTCTCACTGGCTGGTGCCAAGTACACATTAGACGAGCAAATTATCCCAAGGAGCCTGGGCCAGTTGAATTGAGCTTCAGTGGAGGACCAAGCTTTGATGCCAGATTTGTTTTTCAAAACGCATCCCCGGAGGACGTGCCCCTTCTGGAGGGAGGAGGCTGACGGGCTCCTGCGTCACGTTTCCACCCCTGAGACAGAGATGGTAATAGCTGCTCTGCTGGGTCAGTGCTGAGATGTGTTAACTGACCCCATGGTGGGCATCACAGCTCCAGCAAGGAGCTCTCTGGAGACACAACACTGAGGATGAAGAATTTCCCCAGTGCTCACTAGCCCGGGAGGTGGTGGAGACCACCCCCGGTACAGCCCCTGCCTCCAGGAGAGAGCCATACCCGCGCCAAAGTAGTAGAACATCAACCCCCACAAGCTTGGTGACCCTTCCTCAAAGCCAGTCTGCGTCTCAAGCCCCCTTGCCTGGGAAGATGAAGCACTTCTGCTCTTGGTTTTGGGAAGTGATGGGTCAGATGACGTGCCAAAAGGTCATCGGATCTTTACCACGTGGTGCATTGCTTCTAGCTATCATCCTTTCACTGGTGTTGAGTAACCCCTGTATCTGAGGAGGCCTCTTGGCTTGAAGAAGGTTAAGTTGTCCCCAGGGCTCCACCAGCCATGGCCTGGATGCACCCCCTTCCTCATGCATTTCTTGGAGGCCTCCTTGGTTTGGGATGAGGATGACTCCATCGTGGCAAAGCCATCAGGCGTTCCCACCAGTGGGATGGACCACCCCCAGGTCCTACCAGAGCCCATCGGCAGCACAGGGGTCCTTTCTTTCACCTCTTCTTGCTGGCCCATGTGGATGGAGGTCACCTCCAGGGCTTGGATGTGTCTCTTACGAAGATAGCCCCAAACTACAGCCCCCATTTCCCACCTCCCAGAGGTCAGGGGTGCGCAGATAAAGGGGTTTCACCCAACCCCTTCTCCAATAAACAGCAAACCACGCTGGCAGCAAGCACTGAATTTCTACGGTTTATGGGATTCTCTGAAATTTATAGGAAACAGACACCGAGCCAGGCAACGGTCCAAGCCCGGGCTTTAAGCAAAGGCCTGTTTTTCTGCAGCACTAGTCTTACACATCTATAATGACTTTCTTCTGAGCACAGGAGAGCTATCGGTTCCTCGGGAAACGCTGGGGGCGGGGGGCATCTGGGGCGGATGAACCTCCTCACTGAAAATCCCTGGTCAAACCTTCTCGTAGAGATGGTCTGACCTGGTCGAGGGACAGCTTCTCCTCTCCACAGCTGAGTCCCATGTATTTTCCCTTGTTGGTATTTTCCTACCCTTGATGAGTTTTCCCCTCTAAATTACCCCAGTGGAGTATTATTTTCCTCATTTCCAAATGGGGAAAATTATTCTGGAAAGTGAGTGTACATCAGTCTTCTTCACTCTTCCATGGGGAATGTCGTGCAGGGAACACGTTCAGGAGGAAACAGCGATAAATGAGCCAAGGAAGGGTTTGCAAACCTATAGATAAATTCAGGACAATAAGAGAAGTCCCCTTCCTAAACACCACGTGCAAGCAAGGAGGAGGTTTCTGAAGTGTTGCTGAAGGCAGAGCACGTTTCTGCCTTTGAAGATGGGGCTTTTGCAGCTTCTCCTGGAGCTTACTCTGAGACCATGGTGGTCCACCTCACCCTACAGACCCACAAACTCTTCTCGCCCTCCTCCAGTGATGTCCTCTCCCATGAGCTCTGCAGGTTTTGTGCCCTGCCTCTCTCAGCAGTGCTGATTTTTGGAGCAGAGGTGATGCCCAGGAGCAGGACATCGGTGGAGACCGAGCTTCTGCCATGGGAAGAGCTGAGGGTCACTCGTCATGGCACCCGTGCCAAAATTGTGCGCATGGTCCATAAAAACCAGACTGAGCTGCACTGATTCACCCGCAGTGGGTAATGGCCGAGCAAGACCTTGACACTCGTTGGGTGAAGGCACCAGGCAGGACCTCCTGGTAGGACCAGCGGTGATGTCAGCAAGGAGCTCTCCTGAACTTGTGGGCTCTGTCTCAGCCCTGAGGCTCTCTCCTTTCCAGCTCACAGGGGCTTTGTCCCCAGCTAGGAATGCTCTCCAGCCCTGACACCTCAAAGAACTGGGCTTGACCCCAGGGTGAAGTCATCAAGCTGTGCCGCTGGAGGGGCTGTCCTCTCTGCTCGCCGGAGAGCTTCTGTGGAGAGAAGAGAGAGGGGAAGAAGGGAAAAAGAGAAAAGAAGAGGAAAGCGAGGAATCGAAGGGGCTTGGAGGACCACATGGCAAAAGCCAAGGTGGATGGGGAAGGTGGGATGTGTTTCAAAGCACCCTTGCGAAGCTGTGGGCATGGTCCATGAAGTGCTTCTTTCTTTTGAAGGGTCTTTCCTCTGCTAGATGTATACGAAGCTAAAAAAAAAAAACCAAACCAACTCAGCTTAAACCTACTGCAGTAGCACAGGTCTGGGATGGGGAGGAGAAGCAGATCCACAACTTTTGGTGAGACCCACTAACCCACCCTATAGCAGCACCAGCTCCCACGACGGGCCGTTCCCAGAGACATTTGGGATGGGTCCAGCTGCCCTGCAGAGATCACGGTGGCAGGCACGGTGGCACTGTCCCAGGCCATAGGTGATCTCAGGATCGCTTCTGGGGCTGTCTCCTCCAGCAGCTCCCATTGCACCGGCTCCTCCTTCCCCATCCGTAACCAGTTCCCGCTCCTTAAGAACCCCTGGACCCATTTTTAACAGCTCAGCATCCTTAACCTGAGCCCGTCTATGGCTTTTTAGAGACCCTGGTGCGCTCTGTTGGCTGTTGACACCCACATCTGGGCTCCCAGGAGAGCAGCATCTGGCCCTGAAGTGCTGTGGGCACCTCGCTCTGCCCGTGCCAGGACCCCCTGGCTCCCCCCATGGCATTCCCGGCTGCTGGAGAGGTCTCAGCACCATCTCTGCTGCCTTAAGGCCAGGCTGGAGGTGGCCTTGGGCAACCTGGGCTGGTGGGAGGTGTCCCTGCCCATGGCAGGGGGGTTGGAACTCGATGATCCTCAAGGTCCTTTCCAACCTAAACCATTCTATGATTCTGCCAGACGTGCCTCTTCATAGAATCACAGAATGGTTTGGGTGGGAAGGAACCTTCAAAGGCCATGTAGTCCAACCCCCCTGCCATGAGCGGGGACGTCTCCAACTAGACCAGGTTGCTCAGAGCCCCGTCCAACCTGGCCTGGAATGTTTCCAGGGATGGGGCAGCCACCACCTCTCTGGGTAACCTGTTCCTCTTGCAGCGGTGCAGCACCGTTTCAATTTGTGCCGAGTTTTTTTTTGCCTCGGTGTCTTTTTCCTTAAGGGTTTCTCACCATTTCTGACGGTTGAGGTCTCCCATCGTCAGGGTATTTCCTTCCCCTGCAGCATCTCTGAAGTCCCCGACTTGTCCCAGTTGCTGTCACCTCCCTCATGAGACCAGCAACGATAAAACAGTTGAATTATTTACTCCAGGAGTTTCAAACCATGTTTCTGCCCAGCACAGCTGATATATTCCTGTCCCTCGAGCTCCACCTTTCCACCTGCCCCTCTCTCCATCATTCCTATATGACTCAGCCCAGATCCTGCAGGAAAAGCACTTCTGCTCTGGAAGAGTTGGATTTTTGAGGCACAAACGCAAAAGAACCATATCTGTTGCTTTCCAACCTCCTCTCCTCTGGGCTGGGGAAGGAAGGTGGTGGAGAACACGGGCTGCTCCAGCGTCCCAGTACCATCACGTGCTGGCGAGCAGCATCTCTGGCCTCTCTCCCGCTGCTCCGGGGGGGTGTGTTGGGGGGGAGATTGTCATCTGGTTCCCATCAGCGGGGCAGGCTGCAGGCAGCTTTCCTCCATCTGACACAGCTGCGGCCGCCCAGGGGAGCAATCTCGCCTTCCCAGAGCCTCCAAGTTAAAGGGCAAGAATTTCCTGCACGTGGGGTTTGTTGGGTTTGGGGTTTTTTTTTTATTATTATTATTTTTATTATTTTCTTTTATAAGAAATTTCTGAGAGTGTGTGCGTGTTGTTTGTTGTTCTGACACGGAGACAAAAGAGGAGGATATATCAAAACGGGGTCGTTCCATAGGGCTGGAACTTGCCCGGAGCATCGCTGGAACTTGCCCGGAGCATCGCTGGCCGGAGCAGCCCGGAGACTTCCCCGGCTCCTTCCCCCCAGGGGCAAAACCGGGGTCGGCAAAGCCAACCCCACGTCCCCACTCGGGATGGTGTTTTCAGCGGCACACACCATGGGAAAACACCGCTGTTGTCCTCCAGGAGCAAAGCCAGAGCGCGGGCAGGGGCTGAGGGAGGTGGTGGGACGCGGGCAGAGGCAGCCCGTGCTCTCCAGCCGCGGGGGAAGCCAAGCCATGACACAGATAAATTCTGAGCTCATTATTTTTCTATGGAAATAGGCGGGTTTTTGAAGGCAGCCTGTTTACCCAGCTGGTCTGACCCCCTCCCTGGCATCATCGCCTTTCGATGGATACAGGGTTTGGTTCAGGAAATCTGCTTGTGAGGAGGTACCAGCTCCGTGCAGGAAGGGGCGATGCTCCATTGGGGCTGTGGGAAAACACATCCCTGCCCCCTGCAAAAAATGAAGCCTTTTTAGCCCTAAATAGGGGTTTTTTTTAGCCCCAAATTCAGGGTTTGCTTTCCTTTATGTCTGCTGCACTGCTGCCCAGCAGTGAAGGCTCGGCTGTTCGGGGTGGGGGGTCGCAGAGCGGGTGGGATGGTTCGAGGGACCGCCACCTCTCCGTCCTCCCTCTGCTACGGGACATGCACCCCAGGAGGGTTTCTGGGGGGTTCTCCATCCTCCCATCCTTCCCCTGCACACTGAGCATGGGGGGGGGGGTGCACAGCCCCAACCCTTCCACCGAGG